GCGTGTGCGTGTACGTGTGCGTGTACGTGTGCGTGTGCGTGTGCTTGTGCGTGTGCGTGTGCGTGTGCGTGAGCGTGTGCGTGTGCGTGTGCGTGTGCGTGTGCGTGCGTGTGCGTATGCGCGCGCGCGCGCGTGTTTGTGTGTGTTAAAACTTAGATTACAAACACAAACTTAGATTTACTACAATTTTAACTAATTCATCTCAAAAATAAAAAATTTGAAAATCTGTTTTTTTTTTTCTTAAATAATTTTAAACGGATTTACCGATCGATTCCAAAAATTAATCAGCTTTTAACCTTAAAAAACCACGTCGATCGCCGCCAGTTTGGTCAAAATCGTTGATTCTTCGGTTGATACTCCGATATTTCATATTCAACGTCATAATTTGGTTAAATTTGGAGCGCTTTGCATAGCGGGAAGTTTCAGGGGTGGCCTGCAGGGTCAATCATTTTTTTTGCTTGAATATCTTGACTATACATAATATTATGTATTAGCTGTGAATTTTATGTAATTAAAAATGTTCCTTTTTCACTAGTCTACGGAGTGTATGTCAGGACCAGATCATAGATTTGATGACTTCATGACGTGGGCGTCTATTTCATGAAATGGTCACCTAAATCTGACCATATCGTTCAAACATCAACGTTTAATGATTTTTCAATCCACGTAGCCATATTATTAATGTAGGGTTTTCATGATATCAATGGTTTAATAAAAAAATACAAATATAGAAAGAAGTTATATATTTTTCTTGTAAGTACAAAAAATTGCTTATTGTTAGCCAGGTTAGGTTAGCTTTCCACCCGAACCGGTTCCCGACTTGTCGTGGCTTATTAGCCGTGGCTTGGTCACCCGGGATGAACAAAGAGGAACCAGCTTGGCTTGCACGAGATGAAGGGTTGGCCCAAGGTGGCCACTTCGAGTGGGCTTTATGCGCCTACTCCGATTATGTATTGGTGAACTGCGGCAAGCAGGGTGCCTTCTCCCCCAACCGCTGCAGCCGAGTTGGAGCCGCGGGTGAAGAAGATTGTTGGTATAGCGATGCCATACCACGACCACCGTACCGTTGGTGCGGTGGTGGTGGAGCCGCGGGAGAAAAAGGAGTGACGGCATTGCGAGGCACCGCTCTCCTTACCCTGTATGTACAAAATTTGTCATTAAAAAGGTTTAAATATTTTATTGAAGAAAAATTGTACAAAAAGGGCTATTATAATGAATACATAAATTAATGAAAATGACCCCTGGGGATGAGGTGATCGCTACCATGCTGGTTCTATAAACATTCATTCAAAAATTGTACAAAATAAATTTATTGTAAATTGGCGCATATGATGTTTAAAAAAAGTCCCACCGGGTTTCTTGCTAGTTCTTCCGAGGACAGAGGTTTTTTTTGCGAACCAGTGGTGAATAAAAAAATGATTTTCATTTAGTATTAAACAATAATCGGAGCCGGGGATCCGCCACTGGGGTCAGGAAAGCGGGTGCTTCCGTGCGCTCATTTTGGAATGGCCTCCGCGTATCGCACTCGGATAGATGGGATAGGGGGGGGGTTCCGTTCGTAGGTGGAGTTGAAAGCCGTAGAGAAAAATTCTTGTGTTTCCGGAGCGCTTTACCTGAGAGAAGGTGAAGGGGAGGAGAAGTCCTCACCAAGGTGGGGCTGGCATAGGGCTGGTGCTAGTGGGCTATGGATTTTACGAAAACGTTCCTGTGGCCCTGCTCAAATTCGGTGAAGGTGGACAACCATGAGGTTTTAGTTGCGAATCCAAACGGGCTGGAAGCTTACCATTTAGATGGGTTTGCTTCTGCACAGGAGATGTTTTTTAACATCATCAACCTATAAGTTTAGTGTTTTTAGTTTACCGTGACATTCCGAGAAGATAAAATCTTAATTTTTTTTTCTTTTCCCTGTAGAAATGCTTACACATACCCACACTACAACCCGAAGGCGTTTCATCATTTCATATAGGTTGTTCCAAAAAAAATTAAATGAGTGAACGAATGAAATGACAGTTACTTGCAGAAATGTGGTAGGTTCGCAGTAAATATTATAGATGGGATCGTAATCGCACACATCATCTACGGCCACGTTAGCGCCGGTCACCCCATCGCATTCACACCGCGGAAGAGGGTAGCTCCTTTCCTATGTTTATATTTATGCAACATGTACTGAATCATAAAGCTTGCGTTTCTAAAACATTTCCATTTCCACTTGCACAACGGTTCCTCCCTGAGTGTATTACGCGTAAGCAATGGGTCTAAGAAAAACGTGCACCCATATGCTCTATCTTTCCCGGCTTCAGCAGTGGTCGTGGTCTACGTTCCGGCTGCGGGGGGTTGCATTGTATTTCCGAAACTCTTCTCCCCCACGTTCCTCCAAAATTACACAAAAACTTTATATATAATATTATAATATTCTGTTTTGTTGTTTGTTGTTATCTCTGTGGCCGTCGGTTGTGTATTCTTGTCGATTAAAATCACTCATTTTGGTGTGATATTACTGCAAGTGTGCCGAAGGGCGGCGTTTTGTCACCATTACTCTTTTCCATTTTCATTAATTCGATCACTCATAACATATCTTCTCTCTACCACATGTATGCGGATGATGTTCAGATTTACATCCAGTTAACTCTTGAGAATTTGCCGAACAATGGCTACATTGAATAACGATTTAAATATTATTCATGAGTGGAGTAAGTCATATGGTCTAAATGTCAATCCCAAAAAAATCACAGACCATTATTATTGGTAGCCGGAGCTTTATCTAAAGAATTGACTGGTTCTCCGTACCAGCTATCGAATTCGATGGAGTTGTAATCCCTTACTTTGACAATATCAAAAATCTTGGTATTTATCTCAATAATTCCTTAAATTGGATACACCAACTGAATGAGGTAAGTAAGAAAACCTTTATCGCTCTGTATTCTCTGCGTTGCCTTCGATCATTTCTTCCCATTCCTACAAAAATTATGCTTGCACAGTCTCTTCTCCTTCCGATTCTCGATTATGCTGACGCAAACTATGTAGACATGACTGAGGACCAGCTAAATAAGCTTGAAAGACTTAGACTTCAAAACACTAGTATTCGGTTCCAGGAGGCGTCCAGGAGAACCTCTACGCGCTTCAAGAAAATTCATTTTAAGGTTACCAACTCACAATACTTCCTTTTCTAATAAATTCTTTACTATCAGTCTATCAAGCTCTGGAATGCCCTATCGTTGCGTATACGCGAAGCACAAACTATTGTTATGTTTAAGCGACTACTTAAAGAGCATTACTTGTCTCAGTCGTTCGAACACCGTTAGAATAAATTATTATGTATCTATTGTATTTATCTGCTTTATATTATTGTTTGAGGAATTTTGTTATATATATATATATATATATATATATATATATATATATATATATATATATATATATAGTATATATATATATATATATATATATGTATGTATGTATATGTGTATATATTATATGTTTTACTTTATATTTATTATATTTCTGCAATTCATATAATTTCATGTATTAGTTATTTATATGTTATTTTAACTGCTTCTTTGCGAATATAATGATCTTTAATAAGCTATTGACATGTCTGAAAACACAATTTGCGCATAATCTGAATTTTGAGTCAAAAATGGACATAAAAAATAATGACGCCATATTAATGATGTTTAAGTAATCACGCGTGTCAAGGTTTTAAAACGAAATTAAATCAGTATCAAAAAATAATAATCAAATTTCTGAGTTGACCTTTAAATTGGTCTAGTATATACAGTTATAACGATTGATTTAAATATTTCAACCAATATTACGTTATCGAAATCATTCGATTTATTGTTGACAGGCATACATTTTAACTGATAATTTCTATAAATATTAATTTTCCTAAGTTGCAGATATCGTGGGGACCTCAACTGATAGTGGTAAGCCAAAAGACCTTTACGGTGATTGCTTCTTTGAAACTGTTGCGAAACTTCCTTCCAACTAAAATTTCGCTAATTCAAGGTTGCACCAAGAATGGGCTTGCTTATGCCGATGCCAGCTATATCGAATTAACCGAAGACCTAAGTGGTTCTTACTAGTTTGACTTCAAAATTTCTCCATCTGTTTCATATTTGGTCTACGTTAACATGATCAAGTTTTCCGAATATCGCCATAGGATCCATAGGATCTACCTATTCACCTCCCCCGGTACACACACACACATACACACACACACACGCCTTTTTCTCTTCTGTAGCATCCTTTTTATTCCTGACAACCCAATTTACGTAAAGAAACGAGTTTTGAGTTCCCAATCTTCGGTTTTTTCACTTCTGTGAAACCATTCAGATCCCTAACAACTTCCAAATCCTTACTTACTGAACACTTTCTGTCATTGCTATCTTCTTCGTCTTGGATAATTCATATTTATTATGTAAGTGTGTTTTGTATGGATAGGTATATAACATTAATATGAAGTAAACTGTATGTAAAATAGTTCATTAAGTATTTCTGAGAAATGCATGTGGCTAATTGTTTTAATTTTATTAGGTACATCACCGTCTACCTGAGTTGTTAATTTCTGTCCATCCACAGGTTGCCCGGAAGAGACGCATAGTTCCTTTATTTTAGTATTTTTTGTTTTTATAGAATAAAATTATATTTTATAAATGTTATAAGTAATGGTAAAAATCGTGCTATTTTTTAATAAATGCATAAACTGATTTAATGATGATATTATGATGGATATGTTCATTATACATTATGTCTGTCGTGGGTAAATTATAATTAAATTAGAAAATTAGGTAAGGCTAGGTAAGAGGAACTTTAAATAAAATGTTCTTATTAATAAATATTGTATAATTATTTATAAATTGTTTTATTTCTTGTTTTATAAAGGTACATTTGAGTATTGCAGTTATAGGTTTTTACAAATATATCACAATTTATTTAATACCATTTGTTTAAAAAATATATTGTGTTAGATGATATTCCTGTGAACATTTAGTTTATTTTTAGTTTTGTGGGCCGTATTTGGCGAGGTAGTCCAGAGCGCGGGCAATCTGGGGTGGGATTGGAGGAGGCTGAGGGATGGCGTCACTCTGAAAGACGAAAAAGGAATTAATAAAATTTGTCATTGTGTTTTAGATCTAAAATCATTTTCAGATTATGATAACTAGCACATAAAGTATTATATGTCATGGAAAATGGTCGAAACACACTTTGTACACATGTTACAGAATGTACTATTATAAAATATTAATAACTCACCAGAGGCTGATATCCGTTCTCGTCAGCGACGTATGTAACACCGATTGGTTGACCTTCGGGAGAGACCCAAGAGAAGGAGCCCTGGATAACATCGGGAATCACGGGAGGGTTGCCACCGAAGTTACGAGGTGTTCCTTGTGCTTGGACCCCGATGCCATTGTCGGTCTCGAAGCTTTAAAGACACATAGAATTAATTAAGATTACTTTTTTACAAAAAGTTTCTATGAAAGATAAAGTTAATAAGTCATCAAATGTTACACTCACAAGTAGTTGAAAGAACCATCAGGGCTGGAGTCACTGCCGTATTTGAGGATGTTAGCATAGCGTGAGTCGGATACAGCCCTGTTGGCGACGACTGGGACGATAGGTACAGGCGAGGGAGAGGGACGAACGGGAGCAGCTGCGGAAATAACACTGGGAACAGATGAAACAGTTACTGATTCAACTGGAGGGGTGGGAGCAGCTGTAGTGGGTGAGACGATAGGTTTGTAATTCTGGTTAGGATTGCGGAACGGGTTCTGGTACTGGTTCTGGTACGGATTCTGGTATTGGTTTTGGTAGCGGTTCTGGTAACGATTGGAGTATGGATTGTATTGGACTGGTTGATTGAGCCCGAAAGTGCTGAACGCCCTCGCGTTAGATTGAGGTTCCGCGTAGGCAGTCGCCAATACGCAAGCAATCACGACAACCTATGAATACAAATAGTTATTACAGTAAATTTTTTTAAGGGCTTATAAATGTAAAACTTTAAATTTATTAATCTTTACTTACAGCGAATTTCATTTTTTTTATTGCCTAGCTTGGTTGAACTAGTTCGAATGCGGATAAAAAATCCGCGCAGGCTTTTATATCATTCATAGAACCACCCACTTAAGTCGGCGAACTGCAATAAAATTTAAATAATTTGACGCTACAGTGAGGAATCAAAGTAAAAATAACACTTGATATAGCCACACCGGTATTAAAATCTTGTTCGCTATGATAACATAGGGCTTTAATTTTATATTTAAACAATTATTAAATAAATCAGGAAGTCGATGGATGTAGGATGCTCAGGATCGTGCTTTGTGGCGATCCTTGCGGAAGCCTGTGTTCAGCAATGGACTTGTGATGAGCTGTAATGACGTCGATGATGATAACTTATTCAACCATTTAACAATTATATTCATATTTTTAATTATAAATATTTGGTCCGATTTTAACATAAAAAGCGAATTAATAAATTAATGAATTTTATTGAAATACTAAATTTACATATAAACACTTAATGTATGACCAATACTTTTGAAAAGATTAATAATTTTTTTAATACTCAATATCGCCGCGACCGAATGCGGCCGCTTTGTAGCTAAGAGGTTAACTAACATAGAAAAAGCAATCGTTGAGTAAATTTATACATTATACATAAATTGTTAATATTTTTTAAGTATTATTTTCACTAAGCGTTCAGAAATATTCATGCTAATGAAATATTGCGATAATATGGAATCTAATATATTATAAATAATAATATAATATATAAATTATAATAATATAATATAATATATAAATTATTTATAATAATTGATTTCATGATTTCAAAATACCGAACTGAAAACCTATAGAAACTCAGAACAATTTCACAAACATTCAACAAAAATAGATTTTTTAAATGATAATAGAATAGACGATTACTTTTTAAATCTGAATATACCCTTTTATATATAGAGAAATAACGAATCAGTTAGCAAAATAAAATTGGAAGTTTTTAGTACATTTTGTTAATTTGATACATTTGATATCTATGCTGCTAATGTCTAATGTACGCAAATACATAATTCTTTTCTGTAATTAATTGTTCTAATTTGACATCCAGAAATGAAATAAAGAAAATCAACAGATGAGCCCCGCAAGTTAAGCAGATACTTACTTAAAAACTTTTTTACTGATAAATAAGTACGATTACTACCTTAATGTCACATATTATGTACGATAAAAATTGATATCATAATATGTTTGTATTGTATTACTATTGGGTTAATTGTCAGGGACAACCATTTACATTTCGTGATATACGCGAACAATACAATTATTAATTATTCCCTTAATAATTAATAATTGAACTGTGTGTTAAAAATAAATATTATATAATGTAAAGTAAAAAAAAAAGAACACTTATATCCTTGCTAGGTGTAGGCTTCCTCTTCTTTTTATGGAGCAATTAGTTCAACGCGTTGCTTTAGTTAATGTTGACGGACTTCAGGCCGATTTGCTTTACCGCAGCGTGTGGTTAATCAACACATTAGCAAATGGAATTAAATATTTCACTGCTGCCCAGATCAAACCCGGACTATACGCATTCTATGAAACTTACGGCAAGCGCTTAGACGCTGGGCTACTACTACTTATTGTATATGTCCAACATTAAAGCTAGCAAGGATACAGTTATTGCTATATTTAATTTTTAGATAAATGTTTATTGCTCCCTAAACGCGGTCTTTGCTTTGGTTATTTAACAACGTTATTTCTGAGAGTATAATGATAAGGTCCGTGAGGGTAATATAATATGGCCGCCTAAAACTCTGTCACCCTTGAAAACCAAAACTAGGAGGAGTATACTAAATCCATTTTTTAAAGAAAATAATAGCAATAAAGCTTTGACAATAATTAGGAACGCTTAGAAAATTCAACTTAAAACATCTTAATATTTACTATAATGTGTATTTTGAGAAATACCATCGGTAAATCAGCGCTCTTTTGACTTTTTATTATTTGATAAACTGATGAAGAGGTATCGTACCTCAAAGTCATCTATGCAAACGAGGTGGTAGTTTTTGCAGTTATAAGAAACTGACCTCACGTACGCTAATATTTTTTTCTTTATAGTAGTTATACATGCAGGATAGGTACATAATGCCAATGCTAGTTAGGCTCCTTATGTTATGTAGGGAGGATTTTCCATAATTGTGGCACTTAACAGACGCATAAGCAATCGTAGTATCATATATCTCGTACCTCTCCCCATCGCCGGTCTATGTATTTAAAAAAATGTAAAATCGCTTTTTAACTTAATTACTAACTAAATCGCTATTAACCTTTTTTCAATCGCTTCTTACGACACACGCGTGATTAAATGAAGCGATAGATTATCTTAACACGTCACGGCTTTACAAGACGGCATCAATTTTTCGATGATCCTATTCGATCATATTCGAAATAAGTTTTGGTTGCCAGAAAAATGCACTAGTATGTTTGAGATTTTCTTACTAATGAAATTGATACTCGATGGTAAAGCAAAAAATGGTAAGAACCTGCATATCTAAGAAATTAATATATTTCGAAAACATAAGTTGCCTTACTGCTGCTACTTATCCGCGCCGCTTGGATGCCATTTACCTACTAGCCCTAAAATTGTCATAGAGATCTGAGAATTTACACCATGCTTTAAGTACTGTACTAGATTGAACAAAAAATCAACTCTAATAAAATGCGAAAGTAACTCTTTTTGTCTGTTTATCATCTCATTATGAAAGAACCTCTAAATTTCTTATGAATATCATCATGCGCAATTGCGAAGAACGTAGATCATTTATTATTATTAATATTATTGAGGATTTTTTTAAATTCCTGTTTGCAGTATATTAGTAGCTAGCAGTATACCCAAAGGAAAAGCTAGATGAAAACTTTTAAAAAAATTTAATGATGAAAATCAATAACACGTCAGTTGTTTTAAATATTTTATCATTATTTTCAGACAATAGTGTTTGTGTTTTATAAAAGTAAAAGAAAAGTGACAGCTTATAAAAATTACATTACAGTCTTTAAGGTTTAAAGATTATTGGAAGTCTACTTGTAAGTGTGACATTAGGACAGGCCGACCGGTAAGCTTGGATTAGATCGGTGACTTGGTACAAATTGCCACTAATTTTATGTATCGGTTTAGAGTACGGTCTCTACTGGTCCTACGGTCTTCACTTACAGAGCTCTCTCATCACTAAATCGAAATATCAAGGATAGACATCGCTGTTGTGCGTTTTTTTTTTTTTTTTTTTTTTAGATGGGAAAAACCAACACAACCCCCCGCGAGCGCCTAAACACCCACAACGACAAGAACAAATACGACGCCCCCGGGGACGCCACAAGAGAGCGACCCCGAGCCCGCCTCCACAAACAAACACCAAAAACACGACTATCTTTTTGGTCCGCCCCGGCCCCCCCCGAAAAAAACCCCCCCCCCACCAACGTTACTGTAAACCAAATAAGACAGGGCCTCAAGAGAATGAGCGGTGGTAAATCTCCCAGTTATGACGGCATTAGTTTGGAGCACTTGCAATACGCGAGGTTCCACCTTCCGAGGGTCATGGCTCTGTTATTTTCATGAAGCACAAGTCACTCTTACCTAATCTTGGTTAATGACACAAGACTTAAAGAAAACTATTGTCTTGCCCATTGTTAAGGTTAGAACTATTGATATATTAGATAGGGGGAACTATCTTTCTATCTCACTGGCAATAACAATAGATAAATAGATAGATAATTCTTTATTGTACACCAAATCAATACATAAACGAAAGAAGAAGAAAAAAAAAAATAGTGCCACAATGGGCGGTCTTATCGCTAAAAGCGATTTCTTACAGACAACCTTAGGATGGACAGGATCGCAAAAAGTAGTAAATTGTGTGGTTTGGTGATGCAGAAACAATATTTATAAATATATCCATATTTTATATAATATAATTGGAAATAAACAACAAATAAATACAAAAAAATACGAATGTATAATACATATATAGATGGCACGAACTCAACGATTAAGATAGTGACTGTGTACAAGTTTCTGAAAAACAGGTACTGGGCGCGTCTCACTGACAGAGGTAGGGCATTCCATAGACGAACTGCTTGGATACTAAACGACCTGTCCATAAATTTGCTATTATGGGTAGGCATTTTTAATGTAAAATTTTCTGATCTCAAAACTTTCGAATGGGAATAGTGAAGGAATTCAAAACCATCCTTAAGATAAGAAGGATAGGAAGGATTAAATAGAACATTGTAAAGAAGTGACAGAATATGAGCATTACGGTGAAGACGGATAGAGAGCTACTTGAGCTTATTACGAAAACAAGATACGTGATCATTTTTTCGCAAAACCAAATATGAATCTTATACAAAAGTTTTGAAGACTCTCAAGTTTATCAAGTCGCTCCTCAGTGAGATCAAGATAGCTGACATCTGCATAGTCCACAATTGGGAGAAGAAGAGATTGAACAAGCGCAATTTTAGTAGCAGTAGGTAGAAAGTTCTTTAATCTGTTCAACGACCGGGCAGCTGCAAAAAGTTTACAACTAACCTCCAGTATTTGGGGACCCCATGATAGGTTCATGTCAATATAAATTCCCAAGTCCTTGTATTTTTCACTAACAGGGATAAAATTTCCATTAAAAACAACTTGAGGGGCTTGAGATATTTTACATTTTCCAATCATATACGAACTTCCGATGATAATTACCTGAGAGTTAGGGGGTTTATCTTCAAGCCATATGTTTTTGCCCCATCTGATATTTGCTCAAGATCACTATTTATGTTGCTAATAGCTACATCTAATTCACTAGGAGAAACATGAGTATATATTTGAAGATCATCTGCGTATAGGTGGTAGGACGAAGTAATCTTAGTGTCTATAGAATTAATAAAAATTGAGAAAAGTAAGGGAGATAATACGCCACCCTGCGGGACACCAGTAATGGTATCACACCAAGAAGAAAATGTGTCATCAATGAGAATACATTTCCGGCGCCCAGACA